ATCATTACTACCGTTTTAATTTTGATTGTATTTTTACTTTTTCTTATTAGTTTTTTTGTTTCTTTTTCTATCTTTTCTCATCTTTTTTCTTTTTCTTTCTGGCTGGCCATGTTTCCTTGGTCAGGCCTTTGGTGTTTCTTTTTATCTAGCCTCTTAACTCTATTCTCATTGCCGGTCACTGTCAAGTTTAAATAAATTAATTAATACATAAATTGCTGATGCATGAATATAACAATTGATTATTATAGTCTACTAGATATAATATTATTATTAGTTTTAAACAAGTGTAAAATTAATTCAAGTTGATATTACAGACTTTATCAATAAACTACGGCCTCACTGCATTGTATTATTACTCAACTGATAGTAGATCTATCTCCATAAATAAAAATTATATTTTTCACTTAAGTTCTGTATGTAGTCTAGGCCATCATGGAGTTTGCTAGCATCATAAATACTGATGCTAGCATAGATATCTATGCTCTAGGTCGGTCAGGTCCGTGATCATTAACGCGGAGTCCGTACTTTAGTCTTTTCGGGTCCCTTGGTCGGGTCAATAAATTAGTTTGTATCGGGTCCGTCGCTCGGTCCGTAAATTAGTCTTTTCGGGTCCGTTGGTCCGGTCCGGTCCGCTTTTTAGGGACAACCTTTTCACACTGGCACAGTTTTCAAAGCGCTTTGATGCGCTTTGTTGATGCAGCTGAAATAATGCGCATTGATCGTGTTCACACTAGCAGCTGAATTGTGTATCATTTTGTGTTCTTGTTGCCATTGGTTTACATTGATCGAAGCGCATCACTTCACATCGATCCACCTCTGGAGGTGAAGCAAGAGTGATGCGCATTGATGCGCATTAATTCAAAACCACTCTAGTGTGAACACGGTTGATGCGCATCAATGCGCATTACTTGTGCCAGTGTGAAAAGGCCTTAATACTGTCCCCCTACACATTGTGCTGATTATATTATTATGCATTTAATATTACAGTCAATGATACTTTGCAAAAATTATTTAAAAGTAACAGAACTAAAAAATGTGTCACTATATATTTAAAATAGTATGAAATATATTGGTTTATTAATATATAATAAGAGACACAGAAAATACTGTAAAGCAAGAGACTCTACATACATATACTTTTCCAGTACAGTAGTAGTTAAGTAGGCACTGAAGCATTGGTTAGACTATCTACAGTACTAGATCTTGCAGTAACAAAACCAGCATAAAGGAAACACATTCACAGCATGCATTATGGAAGTGTCTGTTTTTCTAAACAAATTAGGTTTTGTACATTGCTTAAGTTTTGTTTATCATAACAATAAAGGAGAAGGATCTTATTGTATGGCTGATTGTACTGGAAATAAACATGAATCATCACTGTATATAAGGACATGCTGTAACAGCAGTAACTTAGGACAGACTATTCATACAAAAAAAGGAAGAGTGAGGACTATACCATGTGTCCTAAAGTAAGGCCACAAGCCTGTTCACCACTAAGTAAATAAGCTAATAGTTAAAACATTAATAATACTAACATGCACTATAAACTAGATATCAGTGATTGTAAGAGCTTGTTTGAGGATGGTAATAATGCAAGTGATATTTATACTATTAATCCTGATGGAGGGACTCCATTTGAAGTTAGTTAAAGCAATCCTTCATCATTTATAATGATAAACTATATTGGATCACAGGTATACTGTGATATGGAGACTGATGGTGGTGGATGGACTGTATTTCAGAGGAGAAAAGATGGATCTGTTGATTTCTATAGGAACTGGGCTGACTATGAGAATGGATTTGGTGACCTTACTGGTGAGTTTTGGTTAGGATTGAGCAAAATTCATCGTCTTACTAAAGAAAGATCAAACACACTAAGAGTGGACCTGAGAGACTTTGAGGGGAACACAAGTTATGCTAACTATTCTACATTTAGCGTTGGTGATAGTACAAGTAAATACACACTAACTGTAGGGGGGTATGCTGGCACAGCTGGAGATGGCTTAACTGAGCATAATGGAGCAAAATTCGCTACAAGAGACCAAGATAATGATAATTGTGCTAATGGAAATTGTGCAAATTATAATCATGAAGGAGCATGGTGGTATCATAACTGCTTCACTTCACACCTCAATGGTCATTATCTAAATACTTCACAAATCATAAACTGGAATGGAATTATCTGGAATCCATGGAGGCCTAATTATTCCCTTAAATTTGCAGAAATGAAAACCAAAAGAAACAATTAAATTTCATGCTTAAAACTTTGCTATTTCAATATTGCGATACATTGTAGATGCTTAAAACAATGATAGTTATTTTATCAGCAAATCCTTTACTGATGAAGTCATTTTATTTGTCTGTGTATAAGTCAATTAAAGGAGCCACAAGGTCTATAATTTTCTTAGAGTGACCTAGCAACATTATTAGTTTACAATGTCGTTTTAACGAGCTTAGCTATAGTTTGATTTGATAGTTTAAGCAATCACTAAACAGAATTAAACCAGCAAGGCAAGCTCAGTTTGATTAAGGCCCCGTTTACACAGCAATGCAAATAACAGTGCCAAAGTACACATGTATATACTTGATCAAAGCCTAACTGTTATTATACTAAGCAAGGAGCCTCTATACAATAACAGTTATTATACCAAGTAAGAATTTCCCCATCCATTGATGACCATGCATAAGGATTCAGGTGACCTTTCAAGGAAAACCATGAAGAAAATTAAAACTGGTACTACAGGAATGTACATATGTAACACATTGAATGTTTTAATGTTTTAGGTTCAGAATATGTCTGCACATGTTGTGACCATACTGAGTGCTATATAACACAACTGTATACCCAAGAATTAATTAAATGTACACATAACCAGAATAAAATACAAAATACCTCTAAAATTGGAAGATAGTGGTTGATAACGTTTGTTGACTTGAATGTCTGAATTACATGGACACCTGTGTTTATCAAGGTCTTTAGTACCCATACATTTTTAAGGCTCAAGAGGATCCTATGCAATTTTCTAGCGAGTTTCATTTAGGAATGGGCAGGGAAAGCAATCACCCCCCACATGGCTACCCCTTTAAAGTACTGCTTTACTATTACTCACAGTGACTCCATAGCTGTTGCAGGATATTCACAATACCATAGACACTAATGAAAGAATAATAAGAAAAACTTTTGTTTGTACATAAATATACTGTACTATATTACACACACAAAGTTAATACCACTTCACTCTATTTGTACTCCCTTCATTTTAATAATTCAGAAATTCACTCTTCACATACAAATCTGTCACTCCTCTGTTTACCTATTAAGGGTCCAAGGCTCCCACCTAATGAATTGGAAAGACTATCAAAATACTGCAGTGACCTAAACGTACATGAAACAAGTAATTACTAATACTGTACGACAAACTATTAACTGATTCTACATTAATGTACTTCACTGTACATGTACATGTAGCCAGCAGGCCAAACATAGCTACATTGTAATAAAATGAGTCAGTTAATACAAATCATCAGTTAGGGATTCAGTCCCGAAAGATGGTTAATGATATAATGTTGTATCATCATTCTCAGTCAACAGTTAATTTGAAGTAGATAGCATTAGTAACATGCAGAAATTCCTACAGAATTTTTGGCATAATGTTCCTGCAGTTTCTTGTCAGTGGTGGTATTGAGTTACTCAAAAATTAGGCCAAACACCCTGTACTAAAGTACAGATATTTTGGCCAAACGTCATCAAAAATGAAAAGGAGAAAAAAATTCCATTTTTATAATTTTTTCTGATACATATACATGTACATATATTGTGCAGAAAGTTTGAACTGATTCTGATTAAGTTTGGATTTTATACAAATTCTTGAAGGTGCTCAAAAATTGGGTTAAGGTCCCTTGTACTACAATAACATGTAAAAATGGCTCATACCTCCCCTCAATGTTTATTAAATTTTCTGATGCATATTGATGTACATGTATTGTGTGTATATGTGAAGTGCAATGGAAAGTTTTAATAACATACATGTACATTATGCTGTCTATCTCGCGATGCAGAAAGTCCAAAAGGTAGAGAGCTGTGATCAATCCTGTGGGTTATGATGCCTGACAGATGATACACATCTGCTTCAGGTAAAGGTTGAAAGGTCTAACAACGGAACACACAAAGATCAAATCAACCTCCTAAATGATTAGAAAATAAATTTAAAATTATTTTAAAAAACTACCATAAAGCAGGATTTATTGACGAGTAAAAAATTTGATGAAAACAATAAATTTTCCCGGTTGGCGAGTTTTAATTTGACGAATAGTGCCCTTTGTGTACATGTGGCACAAAGTACAAAATTTTTGACGGGTATAAAATTTGACGTTTTATTTTAAACCATCAACTCATCAAAATAAAACCTTTGTCAATAAATCCCACTATACAGTATTTTGTACCTGATTGAAATGTAAAATTAGACTAAGAGAGCAAAACAATATAGGGACTGACACTATCAATAGAAGACTTTATTTTTATATAAAAGTTCATGACATCATAATTACATCACACAGTATGTTACTAACTTTAGCTTCAACACAACACCTGCTAACATCATCTCTCTCATTTGTTTCGAGTGGGCGTGGCTCCTCGTAACTAACGGCAACAACTTCAACGAGCATCTTCTCTTAAACAATTTCTAAAACATCACCTAGAAGATGGAGAGAAAGAGGTACTATACGTTATTAAATAATTAATTTTTTTAATTTTAATTACTGTCTCGAAGTCAGTCAATCATAGTCTGCCAAGTTTTTAAATGTAGCTCTTTTACTCAAAATTCCATTGATAGATAAATACTGTATAGCTGGTAATTTTAAAATACAAAAATTTTATAATATTAAAAGAGACAGTACATGACCATCAGTAAATCAATCCTTTAATTACTTCTCTCAAGACCCCATGCAAGCTCATTACAAATCCCTCGTAAGAAAGAAATGTAGTTGTTGTTAATATAAAAAACTAAGAATGAGAGAGAAAGAAAAGTACATTGTTATTATTATTATTTCTGTGCTTTTATTTTAGCAATATGGCATACATTAAAATAACAATGCTACTCAAAATTCCATTAATGGAAAAGTACCGTAAACAGCTGATAATTAAAAAACACTAATACTATAAATTTGCAATACTAAAGCGACAGTACTCCAAGCTCGTAAGGGACCCCTCAGTCGTAACACCAAGAGTATCCTTGTAAGGACACTTACTGCTCCAGTGGTTCCTTTACTATAACAACATGAGGCCATCTTGTGTTGAGGCCCTAGCTTCTTTAGTGAGTCGTCATCTTGTTCCAGTGTCTCTGTATTAGTCGTTAGAGTCAAATCAACGTCTTCAGCAACTTGAATCGTGCTAGGATTAGCTCCTTCCCGTTAGATGAAGCAACACTAAGCTTGTCCCA